CCTCGGCCTCCCAAAGTGCTGGGATTACAGGCTTGAGCCACCGCACCCGGCACAGTTTTTATAAAAATAATATAGTCTACGAATGTACTGTGAGCCTTTTAGGAAATATCAATGATTTTACTCATTTGCAAAGCAGTCTAAATTTACACAGGAAAAAGCAAAGCCAGCCAATCACTGATCTGTTTGGGGGGAAATAACGCCCTGCCTTTTCTGATCTTTCACCCTCTGTCCATTAAAAGGGGATGGTGATATAGCTGTCCTGGTTTATAAATATCCCCTAAATCAGGGACAACATCAACTCAACATACCCACAGCTCATAAACCCATGCTCTTGAATAGCCTGAACTAGTTGCATTAACTCTCACCCAGTGTCTAGTTAAACCAATTCAGTATGTGTCAGCAGTGGAACCATCTTCCGAGCTGAAGAGGCTCCCATGCTTACTTATTTCCACTTAGAAAAAGGTAGGGATGTGAATATTTATTTAAGTTCGTTATCAGCGGAGTATAAAATCCTGAGGCAACATAAGTAACATCAAGTCCTTGCTAGAGTTAACTATGGTTTTGGTTTTTAAAATGACAACCATAGGGCCAAGAGCACTCTGGCCTCTTACCAGTTCCTGGGGTCTTCAGTGCACCTGCTGGGGCTGACGGCTTCGTCCTTGGCATGGTGATGCCCACCTGAGCTGTCATGCCTCGCCGCCATGAGCCTGTCTGGGAGATGACGGGATTCTTCTTGCCCGACGTGCTTTTGTCGGACTCGTCAGACACATCAGAAGGATTCCGCCTCCACTTGGAACCTGGCTCCATTTTTATGCCGCTGTCTGAGCCTCCGTCTGATTTCTTGACATCATCACCAGACCACAGGGAATTCCTCTCCACCTGTGAGTGCTTCTCAGCGTCAGTCTGTGGACAGAGACTCTCTGAATTAGTCCTTTCCAAATCCTAGGCTGGGGAGCCCCTCATTCCAAAGGCAAAAATGCCAGAACACTGGAGTAGTTAAGGGAAAAACAATAATTATTTTAAAGATGTTTGGACATTTGTACTCTGGTTATCTTGTTAGAAAGCCTGATTTTTTGTTGTTGTTGTTGGTCCAAGAAAAGTAAATAATATCAATGTATCCTTAGAATGGAATGAGGTGGCTAGGCACAGAGGCTCATGCCTATAATCCCAACATTTGGGGGGGCTGAAGAGGGAAGATCGCTTGATCCCAGGAGTTTAAGATCAGCCTAGGCAATGTAGCAAAACCCTGTCTCTACAAAAAAATAGAAAAATTATCTGGGCGTGGTGGCGCACGCCTATAGTTCTAGCTACTCAGGTGGCTGAGGTGGGAGGATCACCCCAGGGAGGTGGAGGCTACAGTGAGCCGTGATTGCACCACTGCACTCTAGCCTGAGTGACAGAGCATGACTCTGTCTCAAAAGAAAAAAGAAAAGAAAAGCCAAAGAAAGGGGCCCAGGAAAAACGAAGGAAAGAGCCCTAGGGAGGGGAAGTGGCAGAGCAGATGGAGATGCGGTGGGAATTTAGCCACCACCTAGTCTCTGTCATTTGAACAAGCCTCCTCCAACTCTGGCGGCTGATCTCTAACCAGCATCCAACCTCCTGGCCTGTTTCCCTGTGTTCTGCCTTCTTCCCATCACTCCACTGGCAGTGAGATCTTTGGAACTAACACGCCAAGCAAGGGAGCAAGGGAGCAAGGGTGGTTGCTGGTTCTACTCAAATCAGGGAGAGTCAGGAGCTGAGGGGAAGCACATCCTCAAATGGCACTTCCCCCAGATGCGGAGAGCCAACGGTGCCTGCTCTGACCCCAGCATCATTTATACACCACTGCTTTGCTCCCTTTGTGGGATTTTGTTCTGACAAGGGCTATAATTAGACAGCTTTCTTTGGAAGAGTCCTGACCTGCTGGCCATGAAACCCAGAAGGGGACAGAAGTGTGACGTTAATGATCTCCTGCAGCTAAAAGGCATAAAAGCTGACCAGAATGCTTTGGAGGCCTCCTGGGGTATGAGGCCAGTTGGAGGATGTCAGTAGTGAGAAGCAGCACAGTAAATGGAGAAGGGAAGTCAGCAGCACTTTCAGGATGGGTACACTAAGATACCAGTCCCATTATTTGCAACGCTTAACTACCGAGAGTAGGCAAGATAGAAAATTAAAATGAACACCTGGCAAGAATCTGCCTAACGCCTGTCATCCGAGAGTGGAACATGCCCTCCTCCATGGACTACAATGGCTGAATGAGATAAAAGCTAAAAACAGCTCAAGTTTAATCGCCTTCCCCCACCCGCCTCAACCCCTTCTCCCCTTATGAATTTTCAATTTATCCATTACAGACACCTTATGGGTTCTTTCATTTGTTTTTTTCCAGCTAAGTATTAAGTAGCAGAGATATGAGGAGGACAAACTCATACTCCCTGGCTATGAGAAGCTCATCATCCATCTGTGGCAAGGGACAGAGAGAGAGGGGAGTTCCTACATGTGGGCACAGGGCAGGAGCTCACTCAAAGCTTGATGAGTGAATCATGAGCCAAGGAACACATACTTTTCAGGCCACAACACACATTAGCAAAATTATCTGATCTCAGCCTCTATCTCATCAGGGAGGTAAGTACGTAAGCACTCTTATCTCTATCACAGTCTTACAGATGAGCAGAAAGTAAAGTTGCCCATTCTCTGTCCCAACTACCTCACCTCAGTTTCCTTCCTCTAAACACTTCCAGTACATTCATTCAACCAGAATTTACTCCAGGCCTGCTGTCTCTCAGGCACCAAGGAGGGTCAGCAAATCCGGGGATCAGACTGATTTCCCACCCATCATGGAGCTTACAATCCAGTGAAACAGGCAGGGATTTAATAAATAAAAACAAACAAGCAGGTAACTGTACATTATGAAGACTGTTATAAAGAAAAGAACAAAAAGTCTGAGAAAGAAATATAGACAGTGACCTAATTTAGATGACAATGATGGGGGTAGGGGACAGTGGTCAGTTCAAAAAGAAGTACCCTAAAGAATGAGAAAAAACTTACTTAGCAAAAGAAAAGTTTGAGGCAGAGCATGGTAGGGAGAGGGAACTGCATGTGTAAAGGCCCTGAGGCAGGAAAGAACTTGGCTTTGGAACATTCACTTAACAAATATTTATTGGGTGCCACTACGTGCCAGGAAAGCTTATTTGCACTAGGAATACTGCAGTCAACAAGTATAAATCATTAACCTCATGGAGCTTACATTCAAGAACATTTTAACATATACTAATATGCTCTAAGAGGTACTGAAAACTCAGCATATGCCACATCCTGGGTTACTGCATTATTTCTTCTTTTAATGTTCCTATACTTATTTCCCCCCAATCAAATTGTAACGATGCTGATAGTAGGATAACTACAATTTACTGAGCACTTACTATGTGCCAGGCACTAAACTAAAGTGTTTGACATGTATCATTAAGTTTAATCCTTATCAAAAACCTATGAGGAAATTACAGTTCATAGTCTCAATTTTACATGACAAAACTGAGGCACAGAGTGAAAAGAAAATTTCCCAGCATACTGAGGATGCAGGGATTTCAGGGACTCTAACTGTGGAGCCCATGTTTTAACCACCATGCCACACTACCCTCCCTGAAGTTAAGCCCAGGGATATGAGACATTTGTACATACTCAGTAGCACCTAATATCCATACCCAGCAGATTCTCCTTCCATACTGGCAGGCTCCCCAACCCCAGGGGAAGAGCAGCTCTTGCCTAGCCTCTGGGTGAGACTCGTAGAACTCCAATTTCATCAATGGCAGAGACAGCACACGAGTCCCTGGGCTAAGAATGTGGTTTGATTTTCTCTCTCTAGAAAGAGCAATCATCCGGCCATCACATCTCCCTAGCTTGGTCCAGGGTGGTTGCCTTCCCAGCTCTACTCTGAATCCTTCATAAGCTACGTGCTGGACCATATGGTGGCACCTGTCGGGATTAAAAAATGAGTAAGTCCAAGCCTTTCTGTTCCCAGCACTCACAATAGCGGGGCCAGCCAGCAGGACATCCACATGGGATGCACGAAGAGTTCTATCCTGTCTTCCCCTCCATGCCTCTGCCAGTTGTTCCCATCTCATTGGTATTTCCTTTCTGAAGGGTTTTCTTACTGCCTGTTCTTGGAAGCTGATATAGTCATCTGAGTGGGAAGGTGAGGAAAGATGCCACGAACAAGGGACTTCAGAAGGGAGGCCAGTCTTCTGAGAGCAAGAGGTGAGGCCTGAGGAGCCGGAAGCTTGGCATGATGTGGGGAGGAGTGTGGGCTTTGGGTCTGACAGATCTGGGTTCAGATGCTGGGTGCTGCCACTCACTGGCTGTGCATGACCTTCGAGGACACTGCCTCACTTCTCTGAACTTATTACCTAATGTATAAAACACAGATGATAGTAGGTCTCTTGTAAGAGACCTAAATTGGTGGTGGACTCAATCAGCTCAGTGTGGGGGGCGCTCACTAAACAGTGGTTCTTTTCATAACCAACTTTCCTGCCTCTGAAAATCCTCAGCACTCTATTGTCTGTCTTTAGCATTTATCCCACTTTCGTCTTGCATTCGGGAGAACAAGTACTTGTCTCTTCTGCTACTGGGTCACAGGCCTTTGGAAGGCAGGGATGTTCCCTCCTTGTGCCGTATCCCCTGCAGACCTAGATGCTGAGCTGGCTCAAGTTCGAGCCCCGGTGGCCATGGAGATAATTATTGGCATCAACACCATCACCTGCCAGTCATCCTGCTAGGCACTGTGTCCATCTACATACATCCTGAACTCATTTGATCTCAGGCTGTGTTATTATCCACATTTTACACATCAGGAAAATATAAGGTGGAAGGGGAAAAGTAACATACTCAGTGAGTGAGTAGAAGGGGGCACCCCTTCTCACCCCCCGCCAAACCCCATCCCTACATCCATACCAACATCTAGAGAGTTCTAGGGTCATTCAAGGCCACACAGGACAGGAATCCTTGCCACATAATTCCGAATTTTATTTCCCTGAGTAACAACAACAGAAAAAATGACATGGAATAATCGTTTTCCTCCGTATGTTATTAAACATTTAACGGGCATCGAAAATGAGAGGAAATCTTGCTGTGTGCATCTTTGCTCCTCGGCACCTGTGATGGTGAGTTCCATAGAAGTGAGAGAAAACACTGAATGTATAGATGAATATGTGAGGGAGTCACTCTGCCACCAACACCTATCCTCAAAATAAAATACTGCAAAATAAGATGAGTTGCTTTGAGGCTACAAAGAAAGTACATTAAGAATGCAGTCAACCTTTAGTTACTGACTTGAACGGAGGCTGAAGGCAGATGAACAGTTAACCCAGGTGGCAGGGGCTGGGGAGAGAGGAAGGAGAGGAGAGGAGGGAGGAAGTGGGGGGAGAGATAAGAGAAATGGAAGGAAGGAGGAAGGTAACTTCTGAGCAACCACCCAGTCTCAGGCACTTAGAGAAGCATGTGCTGATAAAACGTTTCCCTGTTATTTTCACACTCACCCTTGGAGATGTGTCTAATTACCGCCATGTTACGGATGAAGAGGCAGAGGCTTGGAGCGGGTAATTAGTTCATCCAAGGATGTCATAGAGTGAGGAGTGCAACTCAAGACCATCTGGCTTCCAAGTCCACACCTTCTCCCAACGCCACAATCTGGTTAGCCAACCAGACTCACCAGCTCTCCTGGAGGCGTTACTCAAGAGGCTCTTGGGCTTCAAGCAGGGGATTCTCTGCCCAGCCCCGAGGAAACAGGCACAGGAGCTGACACCGGACAGCTGGGCACCTGTGCTCTGTGGACGGCATTCTCCATTGCTCCTCAATGTCCCCAATGATAGTAGAGGCCCTCACAGACAATGGAGGCCCTCCATTCCCAATGATCTGTCTCCTCCTCTTTCAATCAGCTACATGAGGCTGTTTCTTAGGTTTTCCAGACAATAACTTCCCTGTTCCTGAGATGCTTTAGTTATTTCTCAGAGGATTTTCAAACTGCAAAAGCTAGGCAGGCAACCTGTCCTTATTTTGCTTTCCTGATGGACACGATGAGCCACTTCTTCCTGCCTCTCCATGTCTTGCCTGGCAGACTGCGTGCTGCCCCCATTCCAGGGAAAACCAGTATGTGACAGGAACCCAAATGAGCCAGAGCACAGAAGGCGCAGCTCTTGGGAAGGGTGCAACGCACATCTTCCCATTGCCTGATGCTGCTCAGAGAGGAGTAATGGCCCTTAGCATTCCTCAGTGTGATATGAGGGAGGAGGGTGGGAGCCCGTGAATTACGCTGATTCAAATATTTTGAGATGCTCCCTGGACAGGAACAAAGAGAATGTCACTAAAAATCCATTTAAGGAAACCATTGCATAAGAAATCTTAGTAACTGCTGGCATAATCTGCATTTATTTTACTCTAACACCTACTTTTTTTTAGTTTTCATTTTACTATTTTAAACTCAGGTAGTCTTATAGGAAAAAAAACTTACCCAGGAACTAGCAAACCATTTACATCCCTTGAAATAACTTCTGATCTTGATCAAAAGGCATGTTTGTGCAGCATCCTGCAACCTTTTGTGGTGTGACATTTACAAGATGAAAGCAAAGAGCTGGTCCAAAGAGCTGGAGCCTTGGCATTGGCCAAATTCAACTGTGTCAGAGAGGAAATCATGTACAAATCCCAGGTGTTTATCAATGTGGAACCAGAGATTTCAACTCCAGCTTTGCAGGAAGGGAACAAAGACAAGGAAATTCTTCCAATACAGTGTTTTATTAGCTCCTCCTGCATCTCAGGAGCGAGCCTCCTCTACATTGTAAGTAAACAAGGGAAACCTCGCTGATCTCTTTCTTTCTTTCTGCAGTACCTCTAATAGCCTGCCTCCCGAACATAGAAGCAGGTGGCCAATTCCTTGGTTTCCTCCTTAGTATCTAAGGACAGTCTGGTTGTTCTTATCCTGAATATACAATGAGTCTCGGGAAAAAAAATTAGTGTTCACAAGGAAAGAAAAACTGGACATTGTGAGATTTAAGATACGGTAGGTGGCAGGAACACAGCCTGGCTGGTCATTTCTGAATTGTGTCTAATCACTGACAAAACAGTGACCAGTTTGGGAAGTGTGGCTTAGGTTTCATTTGTTTGCTGTTTGTACAGTAAAATACACAAATCTCAAGTACATAGCTTAAATACATTTTAGAAAATTAACATACTTACATAACCACTGCTCAGATTAAGATACAGAACATTACCTATGACCCCCTTCTAGTCATATGGTAGTTTTTGTTTCTTAAAACAACTACCAGGACCTGCCATCACTAGATTGGGCTTCTGAACAATGACCAGAAAGTCTGGCTCAAATGAAGAATGCAAGAAACTGGGAATCCCAGGGGCAACACCTAGTGTATTTCATCAGGCGGCAAACGTTTTATTTTTTCCGTGGGACAGAATTATGCCAACACTCTGATACATGCTTTTTGTCCACCTATTGTCGAAGAGACACCATTAAAAGGAAAGAGATTTCCAAATCAGCTCCTATCTGTACGAAGTAAAACACAGCTGAGAAAGGAAGAGGCTATGGAAGAGAGTGAAAGGAGAGCAGAGCCAGCTCTACCCTCCACAAGGTTGCCCTGAGAGACTTTGTCCCAGATTTCCCCAAGAGTTCTCCCAAAAGAGCGGGACTCCCTACAAGTGGGAGGGATCAATCAGGAAAAAGATTCCAGTCTACTATGCCAGTGCCACCATGGCTCACCAGTCCTCGCGCTGGTCAGTCCCAAACTGGGGACAAGCTGTGAGGATGACATTTTAGTTTGCCACTAGTAAAATGGGGTTTTTAGAACCATCCCTTGTCAATCATGAAGGAACACTCTGAGGGCCAGTGAACATGTCCACATGAAACTAGGCTGCATTTGAAATGTGAAATCTAAAGCCTTAAAGCAGGGGTGGAAAACTCCAGTGCCATGGGATCAAGCAGGTAATTTACCGAGTACAGCTGGCGGGCAGGTAGCAGCTGTGCACACCGGAGCAGGCGCGGCAGGTCTAACGGGGTTGGACGCTAGGACATCTGTTGATTGTCACCACATGAAGAATGTAGGTTCAAGGAAGCATTATCTTCCGTTTTTTCAAGAGCAACCAGAAAGGCATTCTCATGTGAAATAATGTAATTTTATTTTATTTTATTTATTTATTTATTTTTTGAGACAGAGTCTTGCTCTGTTGCTCAAGGCTGGAGTGCAACGGAGCCATCTTGACTCACTGCAACCTCTGGTTCCCAGGTTCAAGTGATTCTCCTGCCTCAGCCTCCCAAGTAGCTGGGATTACAGGCACCCACCCTCGCACCCGGCTATTTTTGTATTTTTAGTAGAGATGGCATTTTGCCATGTTGGCCAGGCTGGTTTTGAACTTCTGACCTCAGGTGATCCCCCTGCCTTGGCCTTCCAAAATGCTGGGATTACAGGTGTGAGCTACCATGCCTGGACGGAACAGTGTAATTTTTAATATTTGACAGGAATCTAGTTTAAAAGAGGGGTAATACTGTGGGCCAAACAAAACACATCAGCAGGGGAATGTAACCCAGAGACCGAGAGTTCTCAACCACAGGTCAGGATATCCTGGCCTTCCAGTCCGAGGTTCTCCATCTTCATTTCCACCCCAAACCCCTTGAGGGATCAGACACGTGCCCCTAGATAGTAGTGGCTGGCTGAGGCAAAGAAGAGACACACACTCCAGGCTGAAACGGCTAAAGTCCAACAACCTTTTCTGTTTTGTTTTGTTTTTTTAAACAAATTATGAAACCGAGGTCCAGGGAGGAAGTATGATTTCATCAAGTCTACACAGTGAGGGTGGTGAAGCCTCCCTACTCCCTTGTCCACCACTCCCTGCCTTACCCCTCCCTCGTGGACAGAGGTCACAGTCAGGAGATGACAGCACAGGTGGCAAGAGGCTGGGCCTCATCTCATCAACCTGGAGATTCTGCTTGCCCCAAATGGCCCTCTTATCCCACAGGCCCCTGCTGGCAGAGGCTGCTGGAGGAGCCTGGGAGGGCTGCTGTTCCTCACCTGCACATCCAGGTTTTTTCGAGAGGAGGCGGGTGTGTTGGCATAGGAGCTGATGGAGGAGCTGGTGTTGATGTCATCAGTGCTGAGGTTGTCTATGGTGTCACTGATGCCACTGCTGACGGAGCTGCTGTCGTCCCAGCTGCCAAGACAAACACACATCCTGAGCACCAAAGCCTTGGGCTGTACCAACTCAGGCTGATGACACAGACAAACAAACACCATCTCTGAAAAGATCCAACCTGTGCCATGAAGCCCCAGACAAAGCTCTTTTGCCTCAGATGTGACTCATCTCCATGCCAATCGCTGCCTAGGATTGGAAGCTGGGTGAAGAGACTGCCAGGACCTTCTCCACACTAAGTACTTCCACAGTGGAGGTGGCTACGGGCACTACCCATGTCCTATGCCATCCTCAACTTCATCCTGGGAACTTTATGAAAAACAATTTGTTCTTCCCAGGCCTAGTGGCAGAGTAGGGCAGTGAGTTTGGGGACTAGAGCTAAGGGCATGCAGGGAAGAATTCCACAGCAGTCCCCTCCGTCAGGTCAGGGGGCAGAAGAGCTGCTGTATGACTTCTCCGGCCTTCACTTCTAGAATGAAACACCAAGGGAGGGAAAGCAGCAATAGGCAGGAGAAACCTGTCAACTTGATTAGTAGCTCTAGCTCGAAGAGTATCCCCAAACACATCTAAAATAGATGTTCTTCATTTCCCAACCCTGCAACCGAGTGAAGTCAGTCGCAAGCTGCCTAAGTCCAATCTCCTAACAATGGCTCTTTGTTTCTTTTTTCTTCCTTACCATCTCCCCACCTGCCAATACCACCACATTTCATCCAGCACCCGGTGCTATCACCTTGCTTCCAAAACATATCCAAATGTGCACAGTTCTCTGCCCTCACTGCCACCCTGCAGTTCACGGTGCCAATGCCACCTAGGTTACTGCTACAAGGCCAGCTGGTCTCTGTGGTCTGCTTCTACTCCCTGATGGTCCACCCTCCCCGCAGCAGTCAGAATATCCTGTCGCTCTACTGCTTAATACCCTTGAGTTACCTGTCGGATACTTAAGAGTCCAATCGCTCTATACTGTCCCTCAAGACCCTCCAAGCTTGCCTCCTTCCCCAGCCCTGTTTCGCAATCCTCTCCATCGAGACTGGCTCTGATCACATGCACTTCTGTTCCTTCTAAGCCAAGATTGCTCTCTTCAAGGCTTTGTGTTGCTTGTCCCTCTTTCTGAACATCTGTCCCTGACTCTTCTCATCTTTCACCAGCTGAAGTTTTACCTACTCAGAAAAACAACCCCAATACCCATCAAACCTGTCACACTCTGTCACATCACCTTGTTGCATTCACTCATTTGTTTGCTATGGGGTAGCAGATACATAGCAGCTGTTCAATAAATACTTGCTAATCTAGGGCTGGGCACAGTGGCTCATGCATGTAATCCAAGCACTTTGGGAGGCCGAGGTGGGTGGATCACCTGAGATCAGGAGTTTGAGACCAGCCTGGCCAACATGGCAAAACCCTATCATAAAAGTACAAAAAAAAATTAGCCAGGCACTGTGGCGGATCCCTGAAATCCCAGCTACTCAGGAAGCTGAGGGAGGATGATCACTTGAACCTGGGAGGTGGAAGGTTGCAGTGAGCAGAGAGCATACCACTGCACTCCAGCCTGGGCAACAGAGTAAGACTCTGTCACAAAACAAAACAAAACAAAACAAACCGTGCTGATCAAAACTCATAGAAGTGGAAGTGAGAAGTCAAATAGACAATAAACAAGCTTCCAACATCAGTGTGATACTATTCTAATTAACACAGGGGGAAAGGGTATTACTGGTTTTCTATTGCACAGCTAGAAAAGTGAGGCTTAGAAAAATGAAATACCCTTACAAGGTCAGAGGGCTGGTAAGAGGCAGAGTGGGTCTGGATCCAGCCATTCTGATTCTAGAACCAACTACCCTCTTCACTGTGATGGCAGGCAGTTTTATATTATGTCAATTCTCAGCACATACCAGATGTGACACAGCCTACTTTCTCAGAAGGAAGCCAGGCTTGGGAGGCCAGGCAGCCTGGTTCAAGGCCACTCAGCCAGGAGTGGCAGGTCTGATACCAAGGCATTGACTTAGCACATTATTCTACCACCTAGTCTTCCATAGTCTAGCTGAAAGTCCTGCAAAGTGGCAGCATGAAGCCTGGGAAATGCTGAGTGGCTGAGATTCTGAAAGCCAAGAGCACATCTGCCACACACAGACACACACAGACACACACACAGACACACACACACACACACACACACACACACAACCCCAACGTTCTAGTTGATTCCAGCAGCTTGGGAGATACCTGCCTGTGCCTCCTGAGCTCTGCTGATCAGGCAGGAAGGCAAAGGCTTACTGAAAACCTGTTTTTATCACCTTCTCCTTTCACACTATTTGGCTTCCAAAACCCAACAGGAACATCCCACAGAAATGCAGGGGAGTGTGAGGGTGGTCCCAAGGAGAAGGGATAAGGCAGGGAGAGCGAAGGCTCCAAAGGGGCTTACTGTGGATGAATCCACAATGGTCCGGCAGCTCTGGGACTCTGCACACTTCACTCCTACAATTCTACTTCTTATTCCCAGCCCTCCATCCTGTTCCAAATTCTTCCTTTAAGGCTTTCTCCAAATACTCCAGCCCACCCACATCATCTCCTACTTTGAATTCCTACATAGTGTCACCATTTGTATTTGCTTCTACACACTCTTACACTGTTTTCTAGCTACTCTCTATACAAAGGGCTGTTCTATCTCCCAAGCATATGCAAGAGCCTGCTTAGCGATAACAACTAAGTGCTTATCATAGATCATGAATTGTGCTAGGTACTTTAAATATATTGTTATAGATTTCTCCAGTCTTCATATCATACCTCTAAGCAGGTATCATCCTGCCCATTTTACAAATGAAGAAATAGAGACTGAAATAATAAGTATGCTGACCAATGTCATTCAATGTTGGAACTGGGTTTGAAAAGCAAAATGTCAAATTGCAGAATATGTGCTCTTTCTAGTCTGTGTCATGCTGCCTTCTGTAGCAACAAAGGCTGTTCACTGGGCCTGTGCCACATGCCAAACTATTCAACATTTACACATACTCTTATAGTCACTCTTAGGGATGTTTCACAATGAAGGAACTGAGGCCGTGAGGACTGACGGGCAATGCTGCAGCAATGTCAGGCTCATCCGGTGGGCCATGTCCCCTCCATCTCCAGAGACATAGTCCGTGCTCCTTAGATACCTCCTGACTGAACTCAACATGCAGAGGCGAGATAGAGGAAGTTTCTGGTGCAAACTTGCCACCAGCAGTGGATTCTAAGCCCGGCTCCCTGCCCACTTGATTCTTTGCAGGGTCACAGCTTCTGTGCCCGTTTCTAAGGCTGGTAACCACAGGAAGATCTGATGGGAAAGCATGGGGTCACAGACGGAAAAGGACTCAAACTTGTTCTAGTGATCAAAAGAAAATCCCATGGGTCTTTTCCTGCATTTGTTCTTTGGGGTTAGGAATTTAATGTATCTAAAATGTCTCATAATTTGATGAAGGAGAAAGGGGAATGGTGGGAGAGGACTGTGGCACGTGGGGAGGAAGGAGAGCAGTTGTGACAGATGCTCATGAATCCAAGTCCCAGATTTTGTGCTTTGAAATTGTAACCATTCCTCCTCTGTGGCCTTTCAACACCAAGATAATATTCCAGAGGGGCATGTGTCCTTTGATACACAGGATTCTTCCCACATCAGTGCCTGGAGCCCTGGGAGCTAACCCTGAGTTCACAGGAAGCCCTTGTAACTGAGCCACCCAGAAGAGGGGAACCCAGGGGTCTAATCCATGGGTAGACACTTATGACGAGGATGAAGGGCAGCAACATAAGGGAAAGCCACAATGAGCAAAAGCAGCCTTGATGTTCCCCAGAGCTATCTGTGGCCAGAAACCAAATCTGCCCCTGCGGCTGGAAAACCGGCCACGTCTCCTTTGCTTCTGGATCTCTGGGATACTGGCAAGTGCATCTTGACATAAAGTCACTTAATTCTAACTTGTCCTTTTTCCCATTTCAGGGTGCAAATGATCATGAGCCACCAAGATTAGGTCAGTGAGTTTGCAGATGTATTCTGTGGAAAACCAGTTCCACCAGATACTCTGTGATAAGAATGTTGCCCTAAGAAGGGAATGTGGGATCTGCTGCCTTCTAGGAGATTGACACTGTAAACTATGCATCAACATCTTATCAGCTGTGAAGTCCAGTAAAGATCACTGTAACTTTGCCTAAAAGAGCATTCCCCAAACTTAGGTGACTACACAGGAAACACTGAGAAGAATGAAGGAAAGCACACACAAAAAAATAAAAAATGAAGAAAAATGCAATAGAGCCTAGAGCTGCCAGTGGTTACTTGATTCTCACTTGCCTGAGAAGGAAGCTAGCACAGAGCGAAGCAGAGCTGAGAGGGATGGAAGTGTGCCTTTGACATCACTTAAGCGCCCATATCCAGCCAAACTGAAAACCAGAAGCACCCCTGGGAGATCCAGCCACGAGAAATAGTAAATTCCTTTCTTTTGCTTTTTGTCACTTGGCATATTCATGCTAACTAATGAGGAAGCACAATTTACTTGTAACTTGTAAAGTAACTCCGGACATGTGGCTGAGAGTCAGAAGGGAAAAATTTGGAAAGCATGCAGAACTCACTCAGGCAGTAAGGACATTGGTTAAATCTAATCAAGTGGCAAAGGAAATTAGGTAAACCTGGGATGAGGTACAAAAGTCCACTGACCCAAATCGGGCAATAAATGTTGAAAGTAGTTACAAAAACTGATTAAGATTGTAATTTGAAAGGAACCTAGAAAATTCGTGTTTACTATGTGGTGAAATGAAATTCCAGAGAAGAGGCTTGGGGACCTCAATAACACAACAGAAAGAACTGCAGTGTACTCAGCTATGACTCTGGAACCATGTGTGATTCCTAGAAGAGGATTTGACCATTCCTGTGTCCTGGTCCTGAAGCTGACCGAGAAAAACCATATGGTGGTCCTGAGCCCACCTGAGATGATAAACTGACTACTCTCATTTGGGAGTGTATGAATTTTAAATTCAGGAAAGGTTTAATGAGATGAAAAAGAATGATG